TCATTTTGGGCTTAAGTCTTGTCTTAATGTTATTACAAGAATGAATCTATAACTATATGGTGCCACAAACAATTAGTGGTGTTGGTTAAGAAGATTGGAGTTATAAGGAATTATATAACAATTACATGTCTATAATTAGCCTAGTTATTGTTGAAGTTACAATTGTAATTATTACATAATTAGCCTAGTTATTGTGAGAGTTACAATTGTAGTTATTGTATTGTAACTTATCATTGATTTTTTTGACTATAAATAAAAGGAACTATTCTTTATAGACATCAAGAGTTGTAATCAAATATTTCAGAATTGAGTTGAGAGCGTTTTGACTTTCTTTTCACTTTATGCACAATGTGTTGATTTGGAATACAATTGTTATCACTTGTATTTCAATTTTGATTTCCTATTTCAACTATTTTTAGTGCTTGTTTGGATTGGATTCAAGGGATATCATTTATCTTTCTTGGGTTCTATTTAACTTCTACCATTTGGATGATTGAACAAATTTACTTCCTTTTTACTTGAGATCTAAATTATGTTCTATACCGATTGAATAGTTCTAAGATTCAAACAAGGGTCTTAGGGTTCCACATCATAGAGTGTCAAGATCAATTTATCTTCTGAAATTCCTAAAAGTGTATTTCTTGCCATTTTCTCACCTTATAGCCTTTAATTTACATCCACTTTGCACTTCAATCATATTCTTGAATCTTTTAAAAATATTAAGAACTTATGTTTTATTTTTCAAGAAATAAACCCAAGTTATTCGTGCATTTATTTTTGTTGAAAGGTTTAATGTTCCTGGGGCGATATACATCTGTGTTCACTAACTCAAATTTCTTTTATTCTCCAAGTTAGCTTTGATGAGAATTGTTGCCTATGAAACTCTCCTAATTCACAGATGCTACATACATGATTTTCTTCTATTAAGATTTGTATATCTCTTATCAAGCCTCAAGAGTGCATTTGCTTCAAAGAAACAAGATCAAAGCGACCATATATTCTATGTCACAATAATGAATCCTCATATTTGCCATAAAAAACACTATCACTTGCTGAATTCCAATTCAAAGTGAAAGATTTATCAATGATAAGAACATGTGTAACCAGATGTTGGTTTGAGTCATATATGTTGCAGCTTTGATCTTTAAATGTTAAAAAATAACCATTTGAAATAAGATGTACAAGTTTTGAGCTAGATATACATACAATTCATTATGAATATTCTTGATATCTTTCTTAGAGTGAACAGTAACTGAGCCCTTTCCTTGTGCTTCTACCTTAAGCATTTGTAAACCTAAGTATAACATTGATAAACACGTTTAGGTTGCTGAACAAGCCTTAATCATATGCCATGTGATTGGTACAACTATTGGTTATGTACCATATATGCTTACTTGAGTTGTGACTAAGCTGAGAAGCCATGAAAAATCTAGTTTCTTGATCCTCTTATTCATTTGTATAATTAACAAGCTGTGTTTGCTCTTTTTTCTCCTTTGTTTGATTTTTCTTGGATCGTCAATCTTTTTCTATGTCCTAACTTTTTTCAATACATGCCTTCTACCTTAGGTTTATCCTTAAATTTACAATTTTTTCTAAGTGATCTATTCTTTGACATACGTTACGAGGAGGAAATTTTTTTCTTCTTCCAAATTTTTTTGTGTCTGCAGCTTTACCTGATATGAGCAAGGAAAGAAAAAATAATTTATTCACAAGGGAAAAAGTAACCAAGGGGTGAAATCAAGAGAAAGTGAAAAATAAATCTCATGCCTTAATGGAAGATTGAATCTCATGAATTTTAGGAAGATTATGGGAACAATTAATCCTTTTCAAAACTGGTCATAATCTTTCTTAATTATTCACTCAATTATCTTCAAAATTAATTAAAATCCTCTCTATTTAAAAAATAGAGATAATATATGTCCTATTTTAGAAAGCAATCATTTTAATTGTTGTAAGTTTTTTATTCTATTATAAATTTATTTTTCTATATAATTTTGCGATTAATTTAAAAGATTATTTTTCTTATTATTTATATGGCCGACATTATAAATAAATTATTAATTTACAGTTATATTCATTCAAATTTAATAATAATAAAATTATAAAATTTTAATTTTTAACTAGTGAAATTTTTGTCAACCTTCTTATTGAGTGGAAATTAATTCAACTTATCAAAATAAGTTCTTGTGTCGTCTTATCAATCCCTCTTGAATTAATTTCACTTATCAAGATTTCATCTTATGGTATTTAATCAATTCAAATCACCATCCTAACTAGTTTAGTTGACATTCACGTATTAAATATAAATTAGTAAGATGAATTTGTTGAGAGTTTAGAGATTATGAATATACTAGAGTACGATAGATGCATAAACTAAGCAGCTGTGAAGTGGTCAACCAATGTATCCCATATCCCTTATTTTCCGTCTGCACAGTATCTCCCACTATCCCATTTTGTTTTTAATTGCCTTAGAAGTAGGAAGTAGCAGTTAGTATTTTCTGTATTTAAAGCATGAAAAATTAATGAAAAGGGATATGAAGTTTATTCCAGAAAACGAGCGGTAATTTTCTCACCCAAAGCAGAAAAACTCATTTGATTTGACCCCTTGCTCTAACTGGGGGACCTAACATAGTCAATGTGCATTATTACCCTTCCCATAATACCTCCCTTTTTGGCTGGTTTAGAATGCATCTTCAACAGTCTTATCAAGTTCCGCACCTTGAGCTTTGTTAGATCACATCAGTCCTCAGTTGCTGAAATCTTTGGTTTGAACCTTGCTGGTCAACTTATCATCATTTTTTCAACTACTTTGTTGTCTGGAAATAGCTCTCCAAATAACTTTATTTTACTTATAATCTCAAATAACTTTCCAGCATACTCCTTGACAATCTTACCTTCCTTCATTTTATGCATCTTAGACTCCCTTTTCAGTTTAAGTTCGACACTTTTCACCCTATCACTGCCTTCATGCTACTACTCCAACTTTTCCAAAAATTTGTTTTGGAGTTTCACAAGTTATTACATTTAAGAAAATAGTTTCTTACAAGGCTGAGTATAGAAAAGTTAAAGCTCTTTGCTTCTTGGCCTTTTTGCTCTTCATAGTTTTCCAAGTTGTGCAATAGTTGGATCATCCTCAAGTATTATTGGTTCTCCACCATTTTTTACTACTTCCTACAAATTCGAGGCTTTTAAGTAGGTTTTCATTTTGATCACTCACAATTCATAGTTTTATCCATTAAACAATAGAGATCAGGTCTTCATAAAATTATTTGCAGACATATTTTTATTGTTCTCGAAGTGTTTTATTTCTTTTTTTTATAAACATTCAAGATTGTAATCTCATAAATCCCTCAAAAATAATGTCTGTTTGATAGATATATTTAGAAAAAAGAAAATATAGATATAAACTTAACTTTTTCTTATTATATTGTGTTGAAAATACAATATATACATGTATATGGTAAACAATATATATATATATATATATGTACTTACAAGCACCTTAAAATTCATGTGCCAATCAAAACATACATGCACCTTAACATAAGTGTATACTAAAAAAAAAAAGTCTAAATGTATTAACATATTAACTACAATGTTTATACTTTACTCTATTTGATTAGTATAAAAATTATAAAATATTTATATTTTGTATAAAAAATATAGTTAATCGTAATTGTAAAATGGATTAGTATTATAGAATGTTGATGTCATAAATGCAACTATATTACTACTAACAGCTATTTTTTAATGAAATTATTTTGTTAAAATCAATAACATATTATTTTACAAAACGTCAATCATTATTGTTAATCACTTATGTAGAACACCGATGGATCACCATAATGGTTATCATGCACGTACATACAAGTGATAGTTTTTTTCTATTAAACATTCCTTTGTTATTCAACGTAATTGTTTTGTTGCACTAACAGTTAAATTTTATATAATAATTATTGTTATTGTTGAATGTTAATAGTATATATTTTAAAGGATTTTATATATAATATTATACATTTTAAAAGTTTTAATTAAAAATATAAAATATATGTAGTTTAAACTTTAAGACCCCAACTATAACCTCATCCTTTCCTATTTCTGCAGTCTCCTCCCTCAATTTTTATTTTTCGTGCGCAAATGAAGAAAAAAAACCAAAGGCTATGATTTTGCTTGTTCTTTTTCTCTTATGAGTAAACGAAGAGTAGTCTAATAAAATAAGTTTTCGTTTCTTAATATTCTGATTTTATAATAAAATAGTGACACGAATGATATTTTATGAATTCATATAAACTTGATGTAAATTCTAAGTTTCTTTCTTTTGTAATCAAATTATATTTGACCTTTCACAAAACCGACCGGAGAATCTAACCTACGGTCATTCCTAATTCTACATTTTTGTAGATTACAATTCATATTCCTATCTTAATCTTTTTCTATTACTTTAAATTTTTCGGTATAAGCTCCTCAATTAATGAACATTTTTTACAGTATAATTTTCAAATTATAATTAGCATAATAATTAAGTGAAATATAGTAATTAAATATTAACATAAAATAAAATAGAATAATTGAAAAATTAATATTGTACTACTCTTCTTTTTATATTAATTATTTAAAAATATAAATGAAAAATTACATTATAATTTATTTTAAAAATAACAAAATTACTTTTCAAAACTAACAATTTATAATTTATATATTTGTGAAACATGTAATTAACTAGTACAACTTATAAATTTGTATAACTCAAATACTTTATTTTTGTAGGAAGAAAAACTATATTAATTTATCCACTATCAAATAACAAAACGAATACAAAATTGGGGGAACTGAAAACCCTCTCACTTTATTCCTCTTACATGGTGCGCCTTCTCAACAACCATTCGAATTGTCATGCGAGAATATATAAGCAAGGAAACAATTAAATGAATCCTCTGCTTTTTAATTTCACAACAAAATTTTATTATTTCCCATGGAAAAATAAATGTAATTGAATAAACTTACTCGAGAAAATTGTCCCATTTAAGCAAAACCTATGCAGTTTTTGGGAAAACAATAACCTTGCCTGTAAGACCAAAACCTCTAAAATAGGGAAGAACGAATTCAAAAGGAACATCATCAATCTTCAGGGTGTCCAAGCCATATTTTATATTTACTTGATTGAATCACACAACATAGTTTAGTTACATTAGTCTTAATTCATATTCACCAGCCATCGTAATGTATCTCACCCACGGAAGAGCCTGATATCCACTTTTCTCAATGATCTTTAGATATCGGACCTACAGAATACCAATATCATAAGGGAGCATTAGTGAAAACTGCGGAGCTTCAAATATAACTTTGAGACAATAACTGTGTATGAATAAGAATTATTTACACCACGTTTGGGTTGAAGAAAATGAAAAGAAAGAGTCAATAAAATATCGCTATCTTTTCATCTGTCTAAACTTATTTTTCAGAAAAGGAAAAAAAAAAAAAAAAAAAATGGAAGACTGGTAAAATTTCCTCACTATAATTACCAAAACTATAGTAAACTTAGGGTAATGGTACTGGAGCAGGAATAAGTTACACTACTTGATATTTAGCTAATTGTGAGTACAAGGGACTGGGATTAATTGCTTCATTGTTTCAGGTCGTGGTACAGTGTAAAATTGTGTTTGACTCACACTACTTAGTTAATTGTAAGTCCAAGGGGATAGGTTTAATTCCTTCATTTTCTCCTGTTGTGGTACATAGTAAAGTTGTATTCGGGTAGCAACAGGTTGAGGATAAGATAGTTCTACATAATCATACAAAATTATCATAAGCATTCAAATAAATTGTAAGTTCAACACGATTGAGCCACATTTACTTTTGAAAGAAGGATAAGTTAAGGGGGCCTTCTCCCATCCTACCTATAATTGGAAAGTAAGAATTTTTGGGTAGGGTAATTCACTAAAGACTACAGGCTGGATAGTCACTGGTTGAATAGTATGGATAATACTTAAAAGGTCTAAATATTTTCCTTCACAGTTATCCATTAAAAAATACCAGCACCACCACCACGCACCATCACGAACCTTACCTGATACTGCCATGAATTTCCTTCCATCACTGGAAATTGCAAAAGCTCACCAGAAGGGCTCAACAAAGGTTTGAAAAATATTCATCTCGTTGTGATTCCCGGCCAGACAGCCACAAATCACAGCCACTACTAAAACCTGTCTAGCCTGATCCAGAGCCAGGCAGGTTTTTTCTTTTTTAGTTTAAGAATATATTTTCTATTTTAAAATAAAATTGTATTTATAAATTTAACATTATTTCATTTTTATGTTAACTTATTAGTATATTTATATATTTACATTAATTACCTATGTTTTAATTTTTACATTAATCATTAATTTTTTAAAATGTACGAACAAACAAATAATAGTCATTTGTGTTATTTTACCCATCTCCTTAGTGAATTATCCAAACATAAACTAAATTCTTACTTTGCTCATTTACTAACTGACTGTATCCTACCCAACTATTCTACATATCCTATTCTACAAGTGCAAAACATGGCCTTCAAACAGACAATTATTGCTCAATAGGCCAGAAATGAACAGCCTCTCTCTTGGCATGACCACGCAGGGCAAATTCACAGCACTTGGAAACGACCACCATCTTAAAGTCCCCAACTCTTCCATTGCTCGATATAAGAGATCAAATCAAAACTAAGGGACAAATCAATCAAGTTAGTATTATCCTTCTTCTAATCCGATTGACCCGACCTTCCCCTGCATGCTATTTTCATAATGTTGGCATGTTTTAGGGAACTTGGCCTTTTGCCTTTCTCTTTCTCAGAGAAGTAGCACCACAAATCAGCAATCCACTTTTTTTTAAAAAAAATGAAAATCAGCAATCACTTTTAAAGATCCACTTCCTTTTAAAAATAATTGTAAAAAAAAAAAAAAAAAAAAATTTTAAAACCCCTTATGCCCAATGGAAGGAGGGAGTAGCCAGGGTTCAAACTATTAACTCCTTAGAAAGTGATAAGAAAATACGCCACCTGCACCAAATTTCAGGTGTTTTAGATCATTCCTTTGCTTCTTCGAAAATGCTTCAAATAGTAGTGTTTACAGAACCCATTAAATCTTTAAATCCTATGAATCCTTAACTTGCACCCTTACTATGTCCCCCAAACTTTACCTCTATTGCCTATTCCTTACTTTCCTTAGATATGGATTCAAGCCAACAATAAAACTCTTTATTCACTCCTGTATCCTCTTTCCTAACAAAAGTCCCAAATACCAAAAAAAAAGTATTAGTTTTCTTTATTCATTCATCTGTACTATCTTTTCTAAATAATTTCCATCTATCAAAAAGAAAAAACTCCTATTGAT